GGAGGAGGAGGAGGAGGAGGAGGAGGAGGAGGGAGGAGGAGGAGGAGGAGGAGGAGGAGGAGGAGGAGGAGGAGGAGGAGGAGGAGGAGGAGGAGGAGGAGGAGGAGGAGGAGGAGGAGGAGGAGGAGGAGGAGGAGGAGGAGGAGGAGGGAGGAGGAGGAGGAGGAGGAGAGGTGAGGAGGAGGAGGAGGAGGAGGAGGAGGAGGAGAGGAGGAGGAGGAGGAGGAGGAGGGAGGAGGAGGAGGAGGAGGAGGAGGAGGAGGAGGAGGAGGAGGAGGAGGAGGAGGAGGAGGAGAGGGAGGAGGAGGAGGAGGAGGAGAGAGGAGGAGGAGGAGGAGGAGGAGGAGGAGGGGAGGAGGTAGGAGGAGGAGGAGGAGGAGGAGGAGGAGAGGAGGAGGAGGAGGGGAGGAGGAGGAGGAGGAGGAGGAGGATGAGGATGCTTCGTGCTTCCTCTTCTTTTTGCTTCCCTGGCCCCTCTTTCTTCTTTTCCTTCTTCTTTCTTCTTCTTCTTTCTTCTTCTTTTTTTGCTGTTCTTCTTCTTCCTTTCTCTCTCTTCTTCTCTTTTGTCTTTCTGCTTCTTCGGCTTCTTCTCTTCTGTTCTTTATTTCTTTCTTCTTCTTCTTCTTCTTCTTTTCCCTTTTCCCTTGTCTTCTTCTTTTTTTCCCCCTTCTTCTTCTTCTTTCTTCTTCTTCTTCTTCTTCTTCTTTTTTTTCTTCTTCTCTTTCTCTTCTTCTTCTCTTTTTCTTTTTCTTCTTTTCTTCTTTTTCTTTTCTTCTTTCTTCTTCTTCTTCTTCTTCTTCTTCTTTCTTCCTCTTCTTCCTTCTTCTTCTCTCTTTCTTCTTCTCATCTTCTTTTTCATATTTCTTCTTCTTCTTCTTCTTTCTCTTCCACATCATCATCACATCTCATATCACATCACACATCACATCTCATCACAACACATCCACATTCATCATCATCATCTCAACTTCACTTCACTTCATCTTTTCATTTCACACTCATCACACCCCCTTTTCATCACTCAAAAAAATACCCCCCACACAATCACCAACAAAATATAAAAACAATATAATACACCCCCTCAACCACAACCCAACCCCAACCAAAACCCATTCCCCCACCAAATTCCCCCCCAACTAAACCCCCCCCACCCCAAAAACCCAAAAAAACCCCTTTAAAACCCCGGTTTCCCGAGTCGCCGCTTTGCCAACGCCTTTTTTTCCTCAAAACCCATCCTATACTCGGAAAAAACCGTTGGGAAAAAAAATTTTTTTTGGGCAAAAAACACTCAAAAAAAATCTTAACTTTTAAAGAAAAAAAAAAAATTTTTTTTTTTTTTGAATATTTTCGACATAAAAGAATTTAAAAGGGGCCTTAAACACAAAGGGTTAAGCAATTCAAATCTCACCAAAATTAAAATAAAGAAAGCCAAACAACTACTACTTTTATAATTCACTGACACAAAAGAGGAGATTAAAAAAGACCTGAAAACACTTTTTTCCCGATTCTGGGGACCCACAACTGAAAAAAAAAAAAAAAAGAAAATTTTTTCTAACTAAACCCTCCCATGAAAAACCCTGCATCCCACTGATACGCAACAAGAAAAATACTTCTTCTCAAACATAGGCTAATCCGCCAGTAAAATCCCACGTACCAGTGCCCGTGCCGGGACTACCTTTTGATGGGGAAACCCAAATTCCTTTATCTTGTACCAAATGAGCCCACGGAAGTCAAAACCCCGATCATAAAAACACCCTTAAAAATAACTCGGGGAAAACTGTCTCCACGTCCCACTATTATTTTTACAAACGAGGGCCCAACCTTTCGCATCTGTTACATTACTTTTTTTTCAATCACTAAAACTAGCACATTCCCCGACACTACTAAGAGAGCAAGGGTTCACCCAAAACAAAAGGTGGTGATCCTACGATGAAACTTTTAGGGCCCAATATCAAAATTACCATTGCATCCAAAATCATCAAAAAAACCATGCACAGGGGACTAATTCATTTTAACGCAAAAAACATACTCAAAAAAAAAAAAAAAAAAAAACCCCTGCCAATTTGGGTTCAGGAAAAAATAAAAGCAGATGAACAATAATAAAAAAACTAGACCCCTGCTTTTCACAGCATTGGGAAAAAAAGGAAAAAATCCGCTGGGTTTTTTTTGACCAAAAGAAAAGCGTTTGACACGGGAACCACGGCATCCTAAAACCCCAAAAAATTTTACCACTTGGTAAAGAGGGGCCCAAACTTGCATATTTTTAAAAATCCTACCTTTCTAATAGAAAATCATATGTCACCATTAAAAAAAGCCAGCCTATCAATACAGCCCCCTTTATACTGGAGTTCCACAGGGAAGTGTCCTTGGGGCCCCTGCTCTTCCTCATTTTCATCAAAGATCTTTTCCAAAAATACCCAAACACCTGAAACCCCTTTTTTTTTGCTGCGACATGACTTGTGTTATTCCCCCCTAATCTTCCCACTCCAACACCATTGTTAATGAGGAGCTGCTCAATAAATTTAAAACACTTAACACTGGAAAAAATCTACTATATTATGTTTGGTAGCAGAGCAGGTGTTGCGCAACTTAACATTAAGATCGACAAACACTCTAATTGCCAGACATAATGAGGGCAAATTCCTTGGCCTATACCTCGACAACAACCTAAATTTCAGCACCCATATCCAACACATAACAAAAAAATATCCAAAACGGTGGGGATCCTCTCCAAGATACGATATACGTACCGCAAACTGCCCTTCTCACACAAAATACCATTCACTTATATATCCATACCTCACCTATGCTATCTGTGTTTGGGGGGGTTCAACTGCAGCAAAACACCTAAAGCCAATAATAACCCAACAAAAAGCCGCATTTAAGAATAATCACAAAATCCCATCCCTGGCAAACCCCCCCCCCCCCCCCACTTTCATAGATTCTAAACTTGCTCCCTGTTCAGAACATCCACATTACTACTGTGCAGTCAAATATCTACAGGCCCTTTAAAATTCCAATATTAACCTTGACCTATAATGCTTTCTTGATAGATGTGAAAAGGATCCACAGGCAAAAACACCAGACACAAACATCTCTATGAAAATTCCCCGTGTTCGACTAAACCTTTACAAAAATTCAATGTATTTAAAAGGCCCTAAAATCTGGAAACCCTACCTGAAAACTCTGGGAACTGCAGGAAAACATTCATCAGTTTCAAAACTACAGTTAGAAAACATCTTATCTCCCTGATCCTCCCCGACAACTAACTACATGTTAACCACCTGGTGGTTCACAATTACACTCACTCACCCACTGACTATAAACCCAGAAATACTAATCTTAAAATAATAAATCCTAACTAGTCATAAGTTTGTCTATGATACTCCAATATAGACACCTTGTATTGTGCCAAAGCAAAAGCATTCACATTACTAAACTCACAAATTATGATGTAGTCACTTAGCCTTAATACCATAATCTGTAAGGATTTAAATAATGTTTAGATTTAATCCAAGTCTGCTCAAAATGCCTAGCCATGCTAGGTGTTCTAGTGGCCCCCTCTGTAATTAGTATTTTATAACATGTAAACCACACAATACCCAAAACCTGTAAACCCCACATTGTAACCCTTATAGAGAATAAACTTGAATTGAATTCTGAAGAGAAGTTGCAGAGGTTGGTTGATGAGTTTGGTAGGGTATGTAAAAGAAGGAATTAAGAGTGAATATAGGAAAGAGTAAGGTGATGATAAAAAAAATTAGGTAATGGAAGATTGGATATCAGATTGGAGGGAGAGAGTATGGGGGAGGTAAATGTATTCAGATATTTGGGAGTGGAGTGAACACATCAGCAGATGGGCCTATGAAAAATGAGGTGAATCATTGAATTGGTGAGGGAAAAAAAGGAAGTGGTGCACTGAGGAGACTGTGGAGAGACAGATCTTTATCCATGATAGCAAAGAGGGGAATGTATAAGAGTACATGTATAGTTATACCAACACTCTTGTATGAGTGTGAAGCATGGGTGGTGAATGTTGAAACAAGGAGAAGGCTGGAGGCAGTGGAGATGTCATGTCTGAGGGCAATGTGTGGTGTGAATATAATGCACAGAATCTGTAGTTTGGAGATTAGGAGGAGGTGAGGGATTACTAAACCTATTATCCAGAGGGCTGAGGAGGGGTTATTGAGATGGTTTGGACATGTAGAGAGGTTGGAATGAAATAGAATGAATTTGAGAGTGTATAAATCTGTAGTGGAGGGAAGGCTGGGTAGGGGTTGGCCTAGGGAATGTTGGAGGGAGGGAGTAAAGGAGGTTTTGTTTGCGAGGGGCTTGGACTTCCAGCAAGCGTGTGTATGTTAGATAGGAGAAAATGTAGACAAATGGTTTTTTAGGACTTGACGTGGTGTTGGATTGTAAGCAAGGTAACATTTATGAAGGGATTCAGGGAAACCAGCAGGCCAGACTTGATTCCTGGAGATGGGAAGTACAGTGCCAGCACTCTGAAGGAGGGGTGTTAATGTTGCAGTTTTATAACTGTGGTGTAGGCATGCCTCTGGCAAGACAGTGATGGAGTGAATGATAATGAGAGTATACCTAAATAATGTATATTAGAGCTGATTTCTCTATTCTTTTTATTACAATATACAGTACACTACTGTAAACATTTAAAATATACTAAAAATGTTATAAATAATGCAAAGGTGACACTTAAACAATATCATAGATGGTTGACACAAACCCACTACCATTATAGTATGCTGCATAGGAATTAATTTACCGAAGTGGTGTTTGGAACAGAACTCCATCATTAAGTGAGGAGAGGCTGTATACATAATTGAGGTTTGGGGTTTATACACAGAATAGGAACAAAATTTTATTCTGTGTGTGCTGTTCATTTATTGACAGGAGGATAATGTTCTGCTTTGAATAATAATTACAGAAATGTGTAACTTTGGGCCGCTTGTATTAATTCATTCGTTTATTTAATGTGGGAATAGTGTACAGATTAACCTTACTCAAGAGCATGCAGTACTCGAAGAGCAGCTGAAAAAGAGTGATGCCTTGCAGGCAAGATTGCAACAAGAGAGAGACCATCTGCGTACTTCACTACATCAGCAACAAGAACAATTACAAGAGAGGTAAGAAGTCTCTCTTAAATTTTAGTTATTTGCACCATGAAACATGCACATATATGTGTTATGTATGTACATACATGTACTTAGTAATGTTATGTTCTGCTATGACAAAATGAAGCATAAACAATTATTGAAGATAGTTATAATCCATCATACTCGTGCAGTTTTTATTTCATCACCTCTAAGTGCAAGAGCCTCAGAGTATGGAGAGCTGTAATAATAATTATCATAAAGTATATTGAATGTACTACAGTGTGCCTTATAGATTGCTTATATACACTAATTTATTTGGTAGATATCAACGTGAAAGAGAAGAGTTGGAAATGCAGTTCACTGCTGGTGCTCTTGCCCAGCAGGCACTGTTGGAAGAGAAGGAAGCTCTTGCTCAGAGATTAAAGATGCAGGTCAGTAAAAGAAAAAGTTTGACAGTTTTTTGCCTCAGTTTAATTACATTAATACAGCCTCGCCTCACTTACCGACGTACTCGTTTACCGACAACTCAGAGTTGCGACAACTCAGAGTTACGACGGGCTCTGATGAGTTGTTATTGTATACTGTACAGGAACTTGGGTCATGAACAGGCAGTGCAGTGTCTCAGCATAAAGCATCTGAATCTCCTTCCTACAGCCACTTGGTACACTAGCTTTCACAGGCTCCAAGACTACATATTTGTGCAAATTTCCTGTTTTTTTCCTCTTGGAAGAGAAAAAAGCAACAGGAAAATGGACGAAGTACAAAATAAGTTCATTGTAAAAGGGTTAGTGATGCATCTCAGCATTAAGCAATCTTCAAGACAAAATATTTCTCTATAAATTTGTTTTTATTGTGCATCCAAGTAAAAAATATTAGAAGTGCATCAGCACGAAGGAAAAAAGGGAAAAAAAGTAAAAAAGAATTACGAAAAGGGGTTAGCTGGTGTGTTTGTATATGTGTTTCATTCTTGGTATTGGGGCAGCTTAAAAATTTAAAAACTCTCTGAAAAAGGTATGTGGGGGTAATAATAAAAATAATAATAATAATAAAAAAAAAATTATAATTAATAATAATCATCGCTCGGGAGTGTTTTAAAAAATGTCGCTCCCAAACCTATATGAAATACAGTGGACCCCGGTTTACGATCAGCTCCAATGCGATCAATTAGTAGTGTATTTTGAAAGTGCTTTGATGTGTATTTTTGGGGGGGGTTAAAAATGGACTAACAAATTCACAATACCCTTAGGGGAAAATTTTGGGTCAGTACTTGCACCTGAACATACTTATTTTTTTTTATTTTTTATTTATTTATTATTTTTTTTTTTTTTTATTTTATAATTTGAACTAAAAGGGAGGTAAAAAAAAATTTACAGGAAAAGGAGCACATGCCAAAGCCACTTGTATGTTTTGGGGCATTTTACTGGCAGGCTTAAAATTAAAATTAAAAGATTAAATAAGCAATGATGAAATCAGTGATAAAACATTATTTAAAAAGATAACAATAGGCACTTTTGAGTATTACAAAGCAGGTCATAGTTTGGCATGCATTGCTTTTACATTTCAAAAAGAAAAATGGAGTATTTGTTAGGTAGTTTTTTATTAAAAATAAACGAAGTTTAGATGGGTCTTGGGTTTAACATTTATGTTTTTGGGATATAATTTTTTAGAAACATTTAAGATATACAATTTTATAAAAGGTTTTATTTTATTTCAGTATTTACTTTTGGTTTTGGGGGAGTAAGTGATCTTTGGGAAGAATAAAAATTTATAAACAGGTATGTTTCTTTTTATTTACAGCTAATTTTTTGGAATAAAAATTTTCGTAAAACGGGGGTCCACTTACTTTGCATTTAAACACTTCCAGAGCTTTCTTCTTCTTTCAAAACACCCCCGTTCCCACCAAGAGGGTGGAAAAAAAAACAAATTTCTCTTTTAAAGTTTTTACGGGAAAGGGGACTCCCTTTTTCCCCATTTTATTTTCCCCTTTCAACCCTTGGTTTAAAGGGAAAAAATTTCGTCCCTTCCATTTTTAAAGGAATAAACCAAAAAAAAATTTTTAAAAAAAAATAAAAATTTTTTCCCTGTTTATTATTTTTCTTTTTGAAAATTTTATTGACCTAAAAAGGCAAGTGATAAAAAAGACACTGAAATCTTTGCTTTTTTATAGCGAAAAAAGACACCGCAATCCTAAAAAACATTAAAAATTTACAGGTTTTTGGGTTTAAAATCCTTTTGGGGCAGGCTATTTTGGGGGGTTTTTTTTACAACCTACTACCTAAAATCCCTAAATTTTATTTTTTATTTATTAAATTTTATTATTATTTTTATTATTATTATTATTATTATTATTTTTATTATTTTTTTTTTAAAAAAATTTCTTTAAAAAATCATTATTATTTTTATTGTAAAATTTATTATTACCATCAACATACTTTGTTATGAATTTATTTTCCCCTTTAGATGAGACAGAGAGCATAAGGGAATACTGGGAAAAAAAAAATGAGAAAAATTGCACTATTTTTGCATTTTTTCTTATGTAAAAGAGATCTGGAAGTGTTTACCCCCCGATGTAAACACGTTTTCTTTCGTTAAGACCAGAGGTACAGACAAGAAAAATTGCCCCTTTCCTTACCTCACGTATGGGATGTATTTTATTTCAGCATCTTTTTACAGTTCTAGGGTATTTAATCGGTTTTATATCAGTTTGGAATAAATGTATGGATAGATAAACCCTTTTTTATAATTTATCATAAATTTCACAGCATTTTATTGGTCATGTCTACATCCAACACCCCTGACATTCAACCCGATACAATGCTACTGCTTTCCCCCTCCATCCTTCCAATAGCCCTTTATTTCATAAAAATGTTGAGGTGAATTTAATGTATTAGACAGAAAAAAAAAAGAAGTTAAAAAAAAAAAAAAAACAAAAATTCTGAAAAATTCAAATTGTTCGGTGTAATTCTTGCCCCTCATAAAATAATTTTTGTAAAATGACTGTAAAACTTGTAGAAACATGGTATTTTTTTGTAAGTTAACTTGTTGTATGTGTATTATTTATTGTTTTCTGTAATATATACCTCTTTAAGGGGGCTCCTTGAAGTGGGAAAGGGCTATTGGGTTGAGGAATTGGGCCTCTTGGTTTCTTCCCCGATGAACCAAAATTACCCCCAAAACCTCCCTTCCCTACCCACCCTCCCCATCCCCCCTTTCCTCTTCCTCCCCCACCCTTCCTTGTTCCCCGTCCCATTGTAGCCTCTGGGGTCCTCTCCTTTTTTATTACATTTTTTAGGTAGGGAGTGGGGTGCTGGGGGTTTGTCCCACTCCGTGAGGCCCCAGGGGTGGTTGGGGTTTATGTGGAAATTTAATTGTCTGAAGGTGCCCTCTCCCTTCCCGGATTTCGGAAAGTGGGCAGGGGGCCCTTTGGTAATGGGGGTACTCAGGAAGCTTCCTGTCAGTTTCCGGGGAGGGGGCAGTCGAAGGAGGGATGCTTTGTGTGAAATTTCAATGCCCTTTTTTTGTCCCTGAGGTACTTGGTAGATGGAGGCTGCTATCCCAGGTGTGGGTTTTTTGGCATGAGGGGGAGGGTTTTTGGGACGAGTTCCCCTGCTGCATCTTCAACAGTGGGCTCAAGGCCCTCCGGGTGAGGGGAAGAGCTTTTGGCCCCTCTTTTGCCTCCTAGTGACTGCCCCTTGTGTCCCCTTTTTTTTTTCTTTCCTTCTACTTTTTTTTTTAAAATAACAAGAAAGAAAATCATGAAGAAGCACCTTTATTATGGGTTTTCCCCCGAAACCCTTCCCCCTCCCAGTTTTTTAAACTCCAAAAAACCTACTGAGACGTTTTTTAGTGATCGCTCAAAAAAAAAAGACCTGGCAACGTCACTACCTTTGCGTACCGGGCTAAAGAGGATGCAGTGGACAAAATTCTTTTCTTTACAGCGACGTCTTTTAAAATAAAAATCTTTCCCATCATGGAAATTGGGACAACTCTTTTATGGACATTGGCCAAAATATATTGTTCCAAAGCTCTTTTGGAAACAGTGCGCATGTTTAAACTACAGAATCCAAACAAGCTCATTTCCTCCTGCATCACTTTGTAGAAACTACCCGTCACCCTTTATAACACACTACTTTAATTCCCTTTCAGTGGCACTGTGGTTTACTGTGTACAGTTGACAGAGGATTTTTTGTCTTTTCGGCAATGATTATTAGAAAATTGCTTTCAAAAAACCTCCCTATTTCTTAACCCTTTGACTGTTTCGGTCGTATATTACTCTTACGAGCCGCGTGTTTGCGTTTTTATATACTCATAAATTCTAGCGGGGTTAAATCAAGCGGAAAAAGTGGTATTCCCCCCCATGTGAGAAATGGGTCTGTGTGGAGTGCACCATTTAAAAAAAATCCTGCAGCATGTGCATAATGAGAAAAAAAATCAGTTTTTTAATTAAAATGCCTAAAATTTTTGGTCTATTTTTGTATAGATTTTATGGTTGTATTCTCGTTTTCTTGGTCCATTTGATAGAATGGAAAACATATTATAGAAATAGAGGTGATTTTTTTTGGTTTTTTCCAAAAGGAGAACTCCAATTTGTTGCTCTCTCAGTTGTCCCCAGTATGTGTTGGGTTGCAAGAGCCCAAAATTCATTCTGCTGTCATTCGCCCCGTTTTGGGCTATGTGCTGTTACATTCTTTAGATCCTTTACCTTATGAATCATTTAATGAAAGCTTGCTTCTTGTGTGCATTGATATACTGTATCAACAAGTTTTTGTTCGTTCCCCAGTGCATTATACTGCAGCTCGTATTTATTTTCACAGATGGTTTACAGTTTGCTCTCTCTATCTTTCTCCCTGCCGTATCTCAGGTATCGTGTTTTTAATTTCTTCTCTACTGCCGTCCATCTTGTTGTTGGGTGATTTTTAACACTCGCCATCACCTGTGGGGAGGGTCCCACTGCAACTCTCATGGTGATCAATTAGAGACTCTTCTTGCTTCTCATCCTCTTCATGTTTTAAATACGGTTGCTCCTACCCATTTTGACTCTCGCACTCAGTCTCTCTTCTGCATTGATCTTTCTATCTGTTCCTCGCCCATTGCACTTTATTTCACGTGGTCTGTTCTTCCAGATTTACATGATAGTGATCACTTTCCTATCCTTCTTGCTTCTAATACATATACCCAACTGTTTCGTAGCCTTCATTGGCAGTTTGCTTGAGCAGATTGGGACTTATACTCCCCTCTTACCACCTGTTGCAAGGACCCCCCTTTCGTTCTTTATTGATGAACTGGCACACCAGTTTTCAACCTTTAGTCCTAACTGCGGCAACGCGTTCTATCCCCCAAACCTCAGGTAGGCATTCTCAGACGTGTACCTTGGTGGTCTCCTACATGAGCCCGTGCAGTGTTTAAAATGTGCTGTGTGGGGCCGTTATTGATATAATCGTACCACTGAGCGTCTGTTGGATTTTAAGCGGGCAAGGGCAGTTGCTCACCGCATCATCCACGATGCTAAACTCACTCGTTGGTGAGACTGCGTGTCTACCATTACCTCATCTTCCCCTGTGTGCACGATTTGGAAAAAGGTGCAGAAATTTTGTGGTAAGTACACTCCAGACTGAGCTCCCGTTTTGAGGGTTGCTATAGTTGATGTTGCAGAAACTCTAGGAGTTGCCACAGAAATCAGGAACTATCTTGTCTATATCTCCCGAGGGCTTCACCTCTGTCCCTCATTTCTTGCGTCTGAGCCTACCAAAGAGCAATTGCCCTTAGATTTCTCCTCCGATGGATTGGAGCCATATAACGTACCTTTTACTCTCCTAGAATTGGAGCCCATGCTTTCCATTTGCCAGCCATCGGCAACATGACCTGATGATATCCACATTGGTATGCTATAAAATCTCCATTCTATGGCCCTTCCCATTCTTTTACGTCTTTTCAATCTCATTTGGGAGCGAGGAGTTCTCCCTGAACAATGGAAATTGGTTTTGCAAACCGGGCACCTCGGGGCTTGACACTTTTCACTCTCGTCCCATTGCCTTGACCAGTGTGGTCTGCAAGGTGACGGAATGATTGGTGAATAGACATCTGATGTTGTTCTTAGAGACTCGCAATACCCTTTCCCCTTGCCAATATGGCTTTTGCAAAGGCCCCTCTACTTTAGACCCCTTGCTGCACTTAGATATGTATATTTGAAATGACTTTGCTAACAACCACTCTGTCCTAGCGGTCTCTTTTGATCTAGCAAAGGCATATTACACCACTTGGAGGTATAACATTCTTGCCCAAGCCCACTCCTTAGGCCTCCGCAGTAATCTACCAAACTTCTTCGCTGCTTTTTTGTCCGATTGACATTTTCAGGTCCGTATTGGCGCCTTGCTTTCCTCGGACTTTGTACTTACCGAGGGAGTCCCACAAGGATGTGTCCTCAGCACTACTCTTTTCTTAGTTTTAAATGACCTACCTTCTGTTCTTCCTTCGCATATTTGGTCGTCACTTTATGTTCATGACTTCGCTATAGCTTACTCGGGCACTGACTGTTGAATAGTAGCAGCCTCCCTTCAGGTTGTGGTAGACCGAGTCTCCCTTTGGACCCCTTTTCATGGCTTTAAATTTTCTAGTACGGAAACCCGATTCATTACCTTCACTAGACGTCCTAGCGTCCTTGATTTGTTCTTTCTTTGCCAGGATGGATGTAATTGTTGATTTATTCTTGCTGTACATCCTGGCAAGTTCCTGCACCCTCATACCACTCTCAAACTTTTCTCTCACTTCACGCTTAAATTCCATGGTGTTTCTCACTTTCTTTACCACAGGAACTTTCTTTGGAGCCATGGTTACTTATTTCACAGCTGCACTACAAAAATAACACAAACTACAATGGGAAATAAGCAAAATGTTTGGATGTATGAGCAGAAGCTTCCTCAGCCACCAAAAGACACGGCCAAACTGACACGCAAGCAGCCCCAGCCAGTGGATGGACACGTCTCAAATAGCCGATCACCGAATTAACGGCCGATAACCGGGCGCCGAGAAACTGGCCGATCACTGAGTTGGCCGATAACAGAACCGGCCGATAACTGGGGGTCTACTGTATTTACATTAATTCTTATGGGAAATATTATTTCGGTTTTAGGTCATTTCGCTTTTAGGCCGACCTTCTGGAATGGATTGCGGCCAATAACCGAGGGTCCACTGTATTATTATTTCCATCGACATGCCTTGTTCACAGATTTTAATAATTTCTTAAGTTGTCATGATACACCGAGAATGTAAACACACATATGAACACACCAGCTAACCCCTTTACTGTGAACTTTTTTTGTACGTACTTCCATTTTCCTCTGGTTTTTATCTTCCAAGTGCTGCTGCACTTCTAACTCTATTTTCTACTATGGGATGTAAAAAGTACAAATTTATAGACGAAATATGTAGTCTTGAAGATTGCTTGATGCTGAGATGCACCACTAATCCCTTTTACAAGAACTTATTTTGTACTTCTTCCCTTTTTCTCTTGGAAGAGGAAAAAACAGGAAATCTATACAAATATGTAGTCTTGGAGACTGTGAAAGCTAGTGTACCGAGTTGCTGTAGGAAAGAGATTAAGATGGCCGATGCTGAGACTCTGTGCTGCCCATTCATGACTCAAGTTCTCTTACAGTATACAATTACAACTCGTTGGAGAGCCTGTCATAACCCCAAGTTGTCAGTGAACAAGTGCATCGGTAAGTGAGGAGAGGCTGTATTTTTGAATGTTTATACAGTAGTTTACTGTATATTGTAATAAGCAGAATAGAGGAAATCAGCTCTAATATACATTATTTAGGTATGCATACTGGTCAGAGAGCAGATTGTAAGTCCGAGTCGTCGGTAAACGAGTATGTTGCTCAGTGAGGAGAAGCTGTACCATAATTTTTACAGTTTATGGGTGTAAGGCATGTCTCTTAAATGTGAGGATGCTGAAGGCAGTGAGATATCATGTTTGAAAGCAGTACTGTATATGATGTGAATATTATGAAGATGGGGCTATGGAGCATACAGTTCAAAGGGTGGAAGAGGGGTTGTTATACAAGTCATGGAGAAATAGGATTATGATGTTGTGTAAGTCTGGGGTGGCAGGAAGGAAGGGTAGTGATCATCCCAGGTTGCTTTGAAGCAGGGGTGTGAAGGCAGTTTCAAGCGGTTGGGGCTTGGAAATCGAGTAGCATTCTTTCAAGACATTGGCTGGATCCCACCGAGGTAGGGTGATGTAAAAAGAAAAATTAAAGTTTTTCTTTTTTTAAATTTAGTAATTTATACAGGAGAAGGGATTACTAGTCCCTTGCTCCCAGCATTGTACTTGCCTCACATGACATGGCTATGGAGGAAGAATTCGAGTAGCATTGTTTAACATATTTGATCAGAGTGAGTGGAGACTAGGGGATTTTAGGATTTTGCACACTGTTAGTATTGGCAGGGTAATAGTGCCTTTTCACTGAAGTAGGGGTGAGGATGATGTAGTTTGGATGGTCATTTCAGTTGCAGTACCTGTGTACTTCTGGCTAGATGGCTGTTGAATGAATGATGGTTGGGGGGCAGTCACCCTGTCTTGGTGGGAGAGAGCTGGTGTGATAAAATTGTACACAAATTTAAGGAGCTGCTTTTACATGGTTGGGAGAGGAAGGCCTGTTTTATCCCTATATGTATGGTATGTCCTAGGTAGTAGGTTGGTAAACAGCAACCGCCCAGGGAGGTACTACCGTCCTGCCAAGTGAGTGTAAAACGAAAGCCTGTAATTGTTTTACGTGATGGTAGGATTGCTGACGTCCTTTTTTCTGTCTCATGAACATGCAAGATTTCAGGTACGTCTTGCTACTTCTACTTACACTTAGGTCACACTACACATACATATACAAGCATATGTATACACACCCCTTTGGGTTTTCTTCTATTTTCTTTCTAGTTCTTATTCTTGTTTATTTCCTCTTATCTCCATGGGGAAGTGGAACAGAATTCTTCCTCCATAAGCCATGCGTGTTGTAAGAGGCGACTAAAATGCCGGGAACAAGGGGCTAGTAACCCCTTCTCCTTATAAATTACTAAATTTAAAAAGAGAAACTTTTGTTTTTCTTTTTGGGCCACCCTGCCTCAGTGGGATACGGCCGGTTTGTTGAAAGAAGAAAGAAGAAGATGTATGGTATGTGCAGGAGGATTCTTCCCAGTATATCTACTCATACAGGACAGTGGTCCCTGATGTGGGGATAGGGGTCATAATTTATGCTTGTTGTAGGATAGTCATACCTCTCCAGAGGCAATTTAAAATGTGTGCAAGTGATTTTAGTGAGGTTTCCCTCGAGCTCACTTAGTCATCAGGAAGTGACTGTAGGATGCCTCTTCCAGATGTACAGCAGCCATTCGTATCAACAGGAATGTAGGATCACATTAACAGGTGTCACCTTTCACCTGAGTTGGCATTGGGAACTTTGTAAAATGTGGTTAGGATTAATTGCTCAGTCTGTCTCAGCCATAATTCTCAGTAAGGTTTCTTTTACTGTTGGGTGCTAACCCTTCAAAGAAGGTGCTTTGATGTTGAAGGCCCCTTGATCTAAGGAATAGGACCTTCTCTACCTTTAGATCAAATCTTATTGCCTCCCTTTCTCCAGGCATTGTATGGCCCTTGCAGGTTTAATACTCTTTCTTTTATGTATGTAATAACATAATGATGACAACAACAGTACTGAGGTCTTAGTATAGCAGGTGTATTAGCCCATTTGTTGCAGCTCTGTACATGTACCCATCAACTAACATTCACAGATTACTCACTTTATACAGCAATTTATATGATTTAAAGGGGGGGGGCGGCTCAGGGTCATTTTGGAAGAAGAACGTAAAACGCTGGAGGAAAGGTTACGAAAAGAAGAGGAGCAGAGAAATCACATTCTCCAAGAGAAGGTGCAGTACACAGTGAACCAGTGTTATTCTTTACCCTTCTCATTGGTTAGAATGAGAAGGCTCAACAAATTCCTGAAGGCCCCATAAAAAACCTTTTTGCTAACCAATTTTAAAATGGGACCATAGCCTTTACATATAGTAAACCCTCCTTGAAGATCTAATAAGTGAATTGTGACTTAAACATCAGAAAAATCCCTCATTATAAAACCCTGGTTTTATTTTGAAAACCTAACTGATTTGATTTGTTTTAAAATTTAATCCATTATTTTAATAAGTTCAAATTTTTTTTTTGCACTGTTAAAATCTTTTTTTTTACTCGAATTTAAAATTTGTTCATGAAAATTGCTTCCCCGCTTGCAAGAGGAAAAAGCTAACCTTGAGGTAAAATTTACAAAAACGCCAGTGCCTTCAGGAGCAGCTTAAAGCTACGAAGTATAGAGGGGGAAAGTTAAGCAAGGTAATTTTTTTTTCTTAGAAAGTAACTGCTTTGGTTTTAGATCAAGTGAAAAAAATTAAAAAAATTTTTACAATAATTTGTGAAATTTAAGGGGAGTAATTAGTATTGGATGAATATTTTACGTACCTTGTTATATTGCCCCTCTGTAGGGAGCTGCCCCCCGGCGTCTCTTTATTGTTCCATTGTTTACTGCTTTTCCTAAAATTTATGTTGAGTCATTGCATGCTTTTCATATTCTAGCTTTTACAAAGGGAATGACATTACTTGTTAAAATTTTTATGATACCACAAAAGTGTCAACTCTGGACCATCTGGAAAAATTTCCTTTGCATTTTTTTCCCTGCATACTTTTAAATTGCTTTAACTATGAGCTCTGGGGCTTTATCTTTATTTTTTTCGTAAAAAAATTTCTAAGCTTTGCCATGTTTTGCTTTTTACTTTACATTATTTGAATTTTGCTTTTATTGTCCAGGTTATTTCCCTTATTTAGCATTTGTGTTCACTATTTTTGTGTTTCAGTAAAGCTTATTTCCATGGGTTTTTCAAAAACCATGCCCCTTTGGGTTTCCCGGTTCTTTATTAACCCTTTGAGGGCGAAAGGCCCCTCTGTGACTTGTTCTCAGGGGCGGGCCAAAATTTAAAAAAAAAAATTTTTTTTCTTATGAAAAGAAAAGAATCTTTTCCCCATCATAAAAAAAGACCCAGAAGTATGAAATTTTATGGAAAACTTACAGAATTAATCTCCCGAAGTTAGCGGTCTCGCGATGTTTACGATCGGGAAATTTGCCCCTTTGACCCAATTTTTTGGGCCCAAATTCCAGTGTACTAGTCGACAAAAATCATTACTATTTTTCGAACTCCTTTTTTCTATTGAATGGTACAAGAAACCCCCCATTTTTCTGTTCAACTATCCAATACAGTGGGAGAATTTAGCAATTTGCCAATTTACACAAAATTTTAAAAAAATGCCAATTTCCAAATGGGCCCAAATAAACAAGAAAGACATTCCGCACTAAAATAAATTTCCTTGTTCGTTAGTCACATCCCCAGGCCCCTCTTATTTTCTTTGGCTTTCCACTTTGAATTTTATTCTTACAAAAAATAGAAGTTTTTCTGTTATGCAGACTGCTGATTTGTGGAAATGGGAAAATAAATTTTACGCACTTGGAAAGAAAATTAACTCCCATTACATGTATTGGAAGCTTGGGAAGATTTTTTAATTTTGAAATTTGGTAAAAATCGACATTTTTGCTATTTGGGGCTCAAAATTTAAGGTACTTTTCATTTTAAAAACCCTCAAAATCATCTCATTTCTGTAATATGTCCCCATTTTATAAAATGAGACAAGGAAACTAGGATACAACAATAAAAACCATCGAAAATACAGTGCAAACTCGCGTTTTATTCCAAAACACGGTCAAAGTTTTTTTTTTTTTTCTTATGCACGTTGGGTGCAGGATTTTTTTTTTATGCGACATGACCCCAAGCCCATTTTTTTCTAGTAGCCTACCCTTTCCCCCCACAGATTTGGGGTGCTAGAATTTAGGTGTATATACGTCAAAAAACCCCGGTCAAAGCCCATAGTCGGCCAAACCCTCAAGGGTTAAAGATCTATCTGGGCTAAACCAAAAAAATTTTGAATTTTGATCAATCCCATTGTATTTGTTCTTCTAGACCCTCTTCACAGGCAGCCCCTTTTATATTTTTTGTGAGCTCAGCAAGGGCACCAAAATTTTAATTGCTCAAAAAAGATCACACATGAGGTAAATTTGTGTCTTTACTGGTTTTTTTTTTTGTTTGACAATTCCTTATTTTTGCATCTTTGCTTTGCTGTTGTGTTATTCGCTTTGTGTTTTTCAGGGAACATTTTTGTGTAATGTTTTTAAAATTAGGTACATTTCCTTGGCTAGTTAATTTTTTACTTCCCCCATACCCTAATTTACTCTTTCCTCCCATTCTCCTACCCTCAGTCTTAATTGTGGTTTGCCTCAAGAAAACCACAATTGGGACTCTTGATCCGGGAACTGGATTACCCCCTTTTTTTTTGCAAAAAACTGAATTTTTCCCCTTTCTTGGTGCTGTAATCCCTTCGGGTCATTCCCTTGGGAAAAGAGCAATGAAAAGAGATAACAAAAAGATTTAGGTAAAATTTGAAATTTAATATCGGATTGGAAGGAGGGGGTATGGGGGAATAAATGTTTCAGATATTTTGAAGTGGCTTTGGGATGGATGGGGATATGAAAGACAGGTAACCATAAAATTGAGGGGGGGAAAAAGGTAGGTGGGATTTAGGCTTGTGGAACAAAGTGTTCTCCATGGGGCAAAAAAAGGGAAATGTTGAGGTTGGGACCAAAATTTTGTATGGGCACAAAGCATGGGTTGTGAAAGTTGCAGCAAAAAAAGCGAGGCGGGGCGTGGAATGTGTCGAGGGTAGGTGTGGTGGGAAAAGTGCAGAAATTATAGCTTGGAGTTCAACAAGTGTGGGTTACTAAAAGTATTATCCCGAAAACTGGGAGGGGTTGTTGAATGGTTTTAATTTTGGGGGGAATTTAAGCAAATAAGAACATGGAGGTTCATAAATTTATGGAGGAAAACTGGGTAGGGGGTTGCCCTGGAAAAGGGTTGGGGGGGGGGCATTAAGGGAGGTTGGAAATCCCTGGATTAAAGGATGAAGAAAATTTTGGGGTTTTTCGAGCGTGGAGTGTGAGCAAGGGAACATTTTTTTTTAAGGGATTCAAGGAAACCCTTAGCCCAAATTGAGACCCGGAGAGGTGGGAAAATACAGTGCCTGCACTTTGAAAGGGGTGGGGATTTTGAGTTTGGAGGGGTTGAACTATAGTATTTGGGACACCTTGGAAACGCCCCCCTTTTGGGGGGAGACGACTAGTGTGTTAAAAAAAAGTTAAAAATAAATTATTTGCATCTAAATAATAAAAACATTTAAAAAAATGTTGGGTGCAAACCCTTCAAAAAGGTGTTTTGATTTTTAAAAGGCCCCCTTGATCAAAGGGAATGGGGACCTTCTCAAAACCTTTAGATAAAATCTTTTTTGCCCCCCTTTTTCTCCAGGCATTTTTATGGCCCTTCCCAGGTTTAATACTTTTTTTTATGTATGAAATTAACATAATATGACAACAACAGTATTGAGGTCTTAGTATGCGGGTTTGTATTACCCCAAAATTTGTTGCAGCCTTTTCCCTGTACCCGCAACAAAATTAAACAGTTTACTCATTTTATACAGCAATTTATATTTTTTAAAAGGGTGGCAGAGCTTCAGGGTCACTTGGAAGAAAACGAAAAACGTGGGGGAAAAGGTTACAAAAAAAGAGGACAGAAAAAATCCACTTTCCCTCCAAGAGAAGGTCAGTAAAACATTTAACCCCAGTGTATTTTTTACCCTTCCTTTGGGTTTAAATGAGAAGGCTCAACAAATACCTGAAGGCCCATAATAACCTGTTATTGCAAACCAATTTTAAAAAAGGAGAACTTTACCCCTGTTCCCATCATAGATAAACCTCCTTGATAGATCTAAAGAGTAAAATTTTGTGACTTAAACGGGCAGAAAAAAATGCCTCAGTTATGAAAGCCCTGGATATTATCTTTGAGAGAATCCTAACTGATTTGATTTTTTTTTTAAAATTTTAAATCCATTTTTTAAAAAGTTCAAAATTTTTTTTTGCACTTTTTTCACTCTTATTATTTTACTTGAATTTTAAAATTTGTTATGGGGGAAAAAATGTGTTTCGCCCCCTTGAAAAGGGGAAAAAAGCAAACCCTTTGGGGAAAATTTAGCAGAAAAAACCCCCATTTGCCTTCAGGAGCAGCAAAAAGGGCAACAGAGAGTCATAGAGAGGATTTAAAGACAGCAGGTAATATTTTTTTTTTCTTGAAAGAAACCCTGTTTTAAATTTGGAAAAGAATTTTTCCCCTCCGAAAGGGCCATGCGTTCGTATGAGGCGACTAAAAGGGCCGGGGGCAAGGGCTAGAAAACCCCTTCTCCTGTATAATTTAAAAAAAGGGGGAGAAGAAAAAAAACTTTAAAAACCCTGGGTTGTTTAAATTCGGGATGTAGTGGGGGAATGCCCAAGAATCGATGTTTTCGATGTTATGAATGAAAAAAGTTGGATGTCCGGCTCAAGCGAAAAAGCTAAAAGGGGTAGGAAGTTTCAGTGGGGGAAATAAAAGGGGATTAAAACCGGGAGTATCAAGAGAGTTAGAGAAAAGGGAAAGGGGGTAGAAAGTAATGAAAAATTTATCATTAAATGGAAGGAGAAAAGAGAAATGAATGGGGTAAATTCGGAATTATGTGGTTAAAGAAAAAGGTTGGAGGGCGAGAAGTGGGTTAAAAAGCGTTTATGCACCGGGGAGAAGAAAAGGAAAGCAGAGGAAAGAGAGAGTTTTTGGGGGAGATTTTAAAGTGAAGTATGGACCCTTTTAAAAAACCAAGTGAGAAAGTAATTGGGGTGGGGGACCTGAATGCAAAAAGAGGAGAAAATTTTTTTAGAGGGGGTGTGGTAGGTAATTTGGGGGGGGCAGGTTTTAAATGATAAGGGGAAAACCCCTTTTTGATTAAAACTTTGTATAAAAAGGGGTTTTATTTTATAGGTAAACTTTTTTTTAAAAAAAAGGAGGATAAAAAAGTTTTTTAAAACGATATATGTGGGGCCCGAAATGACAGTAGTTTGTTGGTTTAAATTTATTATAGATAAAAACTGTTTGAGTAGCTTCAGGATGTAATGTTTATCGAGGGACCACAATAAAACAATCACTTCTATTGGGTAGTACATTGAAGTAAAAGGTAGTTGGGAAAACAATTAAAAATAGAAGCATAAAGGGAAGAGAGAGGTAAAGGTTTTATAAACTAAAAGGGGAGGCAGTTAGGGTAAAAATTTTAAAACAGCTATTGGGGGATAGAGGGGCAAATGGGGGAAAATGGGAAAGGGGGTCAAAAGAGGAATGGGGTATTTTTTTAAAAAATGAAATTGTTAAAGGTGTTCACCCAAAGTTTGTGGTTACAAAAGTGGGTGCGGGAGGAAGAGGAGCGTTTGGGTGGAATGATGATGTAAAGAGAGTAGAAAGGGGGAAAAAAAAAAAAGTTAGCAAAAGAGAATTTTTTAAAAAGTAAAAGTGATGCAAGGGGGGAAAGAGTAAAAGGAAAAAAAGAAAGAGGTTAAGAGAGTGGTAAATTTCAAGGAAAAAAGAGAGAAAAAAATGAAGGGGGTGGGGGAGCTGTTATCAACAAATTTTTTTTGAAAAAAAGAAAAATTTTTGGGAAAGTGAGTTTAAAACAATTTTAAGGAACCTAAAACAAATGGATTTTGGCCCCGGTTAAAAAAAAGGAGAGGGAATTTATTAAAGGAAAGATTTTAGAGGTTTTTGGGAAGTGGAAATTTTTTGGGAGGAATTTTTAAAAGGGTTGGAAAAAAGGGGGAAGCTGTGTTTTCGTGATAGGGCCCAAGGGGGAAATTAAATCTTGAAAGGAGTGAGGAAAAAGCCGTTGGAGTGTGGGGGAAGTTCGTTGAGGCGAAAGGTAAAATAAAAGGGGGGGTAAGGCACCCGGGTTTTAAAGGGGATAAAGAAAAAAATGTTAAAAGCGGTTTGGGGATATAGTTTTTGGAGGGGTTGGGCAATTTTTTTAAAAAATGTATGTAAAAGGGAAAGGGTACCTAGGGATTGGCAGAGAGCATGCTTTAGTTCCTTTGTTTTTAAAGGCAAGGGGTAAAAAAAGGGGTGAAAAAATTATGGGGGGATAATCTGTTGAGTGAACCTGGTAAAGTGTAGGGTTTAGAGTTATAATTGAAAAAAAATTAAGAGTAAGAGGGAAAAGAATAGGATAGCAATAAAACAAGGAGGCTTTAGGAAAGGTAGGGGGGTGTGGACCAGGTGTTTACAGTAAACATATAAGTGAACAAAAAATTTAGATAAGGCTAAAGGGGTTTTTGTGGCATTTAGGGGGTTTTGGGAAAAAGGGCTTTTATGAAAAAGGGTGGAAAGGGGGGAAAATGTGGCAGAGGGTTGCAAGTGTATGGTGAGGAGGTAGGTTACAAAAGCAGTAAAAGAGTTTTTACGGGGATAGTGGGCTCAAGTTAGAGTATTTTAAAAAAAAGGAAAAAATTTTTTTCCCCATTTTTAAATTAGGCCCTTAGACAAGGATGTGTAAATGTCCCCCGGGTTTGTTTAATATTTTTAATAGTTTGGGGTTGTAAGGGGAAGTAAATGCGAGGGTTTTGGGCCAAGAGGCGGGGATTTAAAAAAGATAAAGAATCACACACGGGGGTGGGAGTTTTCACACCCTGCTCTTTGCTGATGACACTGTGCCCTTGGGGAGATTCTGAAAAAGAAGCTGCAGAGATTGGTGGATGTTTTTGGTTTAGGGTGTGAAAAAGGGGGGGAAAAATTTAAAAGGTGAATACGGGAAAAGGGTTTAAGGTTATGAGGATAAAAAAAAGTTAGGTGATGAAAGATTGAATATCAGATTGGAGGGAGGGGATTTATGGAGGGGGTTTTGAACGTATTCAGATTTTTGGGGGAGTGGCCCGGTGTAAAGCGGAGGGGTTCTTAAAGATGGGGTGAATAAATAGAATTGATGGGGGAAAAAGAGTGAGTGGTGCACTTGGGAGTCTGTGGAGACAGAGGACTTTGTCCTTGGGGGAAAAGAGGGGAATGTATGAGAGTTTAGTTTTACCAACGCCCCTTAAAGGGGTTTGAAGCAGGGGTGATGAATGTTTGCACCCGGGGAAAAGGGTTTGGAGGCAGTGGGAGGGTCATGCCCCTGAGGGCAATGTGGGGTGGAATAAAAAGCAAAAGAATTTTATTTTGGAAGTTAGGAGGGGGTTTCCCGGGATTACCAAAATTTTTTCCGGGAGGCTGGAAAAGGGGTTTTTGAGGTGGTTGGGGAATGTAGGGGAGAATGGGGGCAAAAACAGAAAAACTTCAAGAGTGTATCGTCTGTAGTGGAAGGAAGGGGGTAGGGGTGGGGCCCTGGGAAAGGGGGTTGGAGGGGGGGGTTTAAAGGGGGGGTTTTTGTGTGCGGGGGGGGTTTGGCCCTTCCGCAGGCATGCTTAGCGTGTTTTGTGGGAGGGGTTTGGAGAAAAAGGGTTTTTTTTAATACTTGACGTGCTGTTGGAGTGGAGCAAAGTAACTTTTTTAAAAGGGTTCGGGGGAAAACCCGGGCCCGGCCGGACTTGAGTCCTGGGAGGGGAAAAGTACAGTCCCCTGCACCTAAAAGGGGGGGGTGTTAATTTGCATTTTTAAAAAACTAGTGTAAAGACCCTTTTTGGCAAGCCATGATGGAGTGAATAAAGGGTTTAAAAATTTTTTTTTTTTTCGGGCCACCCTGCCTTGGGGGGAATGGGCCCAAATTTTGGGGGATAATAAAAAAAATAAAAATAAATTATAAAAATCAAAAAAAAATGCTTTTTTTTTAACAAAAATTTTTCTGAAATTTAAGAGGGAAAAATTAAAAATTTTGGGAATGAATGAGTTTTAAAAACTGTACCTTGTTTTTTTAAACTTGAGCCTCTGAAATTGGACGGGCCCCCCGGCAGTCTCTTTATTTTCCACTTGTTTACTGCTCTTTCACTAAACATGTATGTGTGGTGATTTCATTTTGTCATGCCCTCATCACGTATTCTTTTTTTTAAAAAGGGAAAATGACATGTGGGCTTTTTTTTAAATTTTTCATGATACCAAAAAAATTTTGTCAACTCTGGCACCAGTCGGAAACTTGCCTTTTTTTTTTCCCTCGTGCATGTTTTTAAAAAATTGCTTTAACTTGAGCTCTGGGGGCTTTTTTAATCTCTTATTTTTTAGGGAAAAATGATATGTTTATAGTTTTTCCATGTTTGTTTTTGAGTTTTCATGTATTTGAATTTTCAAAATTTTAAATTGTCCAGGTTTTTCCATTATTTTTAGCAGTCTTTTTTAAAAACTTTTTTTGGGTTTATCAGTTAAAGCTTTTTCCCCATGGTTTTCAACCATGCCCTTTGGTTCCAGGTTCTTTTTAAACCCTTTGAGGGTCGCCGGGCCCTCCTGTGACGTTCTCGGGGGTGGGCCCAAAATTTTTAAAAAAAAAATTTTTTTTTCTTTTGAAAGAAAGAAAATTTTTTCCCCCCGATCTTTAAGGAAACCCGAAGTATAAAATTTTGAGGGAAAAAATTTAACAGAATTATGTCTCGCGAATTTTTTTGCGGTTTTTTCTCGACAATTTTTCCCAAAGGGGGTTTTTGCCCCCCTTTGAGCCCAAATTTTCGGCCAATTTCCCCAAACCGTGTACTAGTGGGACAAAAAAAATCATTACTTTTTTCCTTAGAAAACTCCTTTTTTTTTTCAAATTTAAATTTGAGTACAAAAAACCCACCCTTTTAAACGATTACAACTATCCAATACAGGGTTTAAAATTTTTAGAAATTTTTTCCCTTTTTTCCCACAAAAATTTTAAAAAAGATCCCAATTTTCCAAATAGGGCCCAAATAACAAGAAAAAACTTTTGGGGCCCTTTTAAAAAAAACATTTCCTCTGTTTTTTGCACACCCCCAGGCCCCCTTAAAATTTTTTGGGCTTTCCATTTTTGAATTTTTTTTTTCCCTTACAAAAAAAAGAAGTTTTTACTGTTATGCAAAAACTCCCTTGCATTAGTTTTAAAAATGGTAAAAAATAATATCAGCGCACTTGTGAAAGAAAATTAGACTCGCCAGTTGACATGTATTTTGGAAAAGCTTTGGGAAATTTTTAATTTTTGAACTTTGGTAAAAAAAAAACAAGTTCCCCCCCCCCTTTTGGGGTATTTTGAGCTTTAATTTCAAGGTATTTTTATTGTAAAACCAGTCAAAATCATTTTCAATTTCTGTTTAAAATGTCTCCCATTTTA